CCCCAAAAAAAAAAAAAAAAAAAAAAAAGAGCAAGTACATGTTAGAAACAAGTCTCTGGTCTCTACACACAGTCATCTGCTCAAAGACGAACATCTAGACTGAGGAACATGCTTACAACATGGAGGTAATGCACACATATTACAACTTAGCAAGACCTGTCTCACAAAATTTTTTGAAAAAGGGCTGGGGCTACAGGTCAGCATGAAGGTCCTGGGTTCAGTCCTTAGTACTGGATTTTGGTGGCAACACTCCCAAGGATTACTAACAATGCAACAGGACAGTGTGGGGACCAGACCTGGCACAGACCTCAGCTGCCACTCCTCCTGTCCTCAATGCTGCCAGCAAGACAAATGAGGCTTCCAGGCAGTGGCCACCTCCAGCCACACTGTGAAGTCCTATACCACCTCTGTCTCCAAGGCCACTGAACAGTGGGGGTGGTGCAGGTCACTCTGCAAGCAGCACAGGGATCCAGGGACCCAGTGGAGGCCAGGGCTGTCCTGAGCCTTGTTCACCTCACAGCAGCAGGGCCAGAGCCAGCTGTGCATCCTAAACAACCACCTTTCCAGGGGTCACTGCTCTTCCTCACAGTGAAGTCCAAGAGGCTCCAAAACCTGTGTTGTAAGTACGCACCATCTACAGCAGAATTTTCCAGCTGACAATGTATGTTTAAAGAGATAAAACCATACCTCTCAACTTTTCGGCCCAAAACAAAGATTCAAAGTTTATAACTACCTCTCACAATTATGCAAAGCAGCGTGACATTTAAGAGCAGTTTGGTTTATGGTTCATGAACCTGTGGCCCACAGGCAGGTGGACCCGACACTGCGAGCAAGCAGGCAGCTCCTGCCCTGCCTGGACACACCCAGCCACACCAGTCTACGTCCTCTGCTGTTTCACTGCTGTAAAACCAAGTGCAATGTAATTCACTCAGTGCAAGGGCCTTGAGGATGTGTGTGCGTGCGGCGGGGTGCACGAGGCCATGCATCACCAGGCTGGCTACCCAGTGTGCCTCTGGGTGCCTCCTGAGCCTCAAGCTACTTCCCCTGTCCACTGGCACAGTGTATTTCTGCCTATCAGTCCCTCTGTCCATCTTCACATACACACTGATATTCTTTAGGACACTCATTTCTGTTTAGTCAGCAAAAGTTAGCTTCTGTTATTTGTTGGGAAGCCCCTGGACTGGTAAAGAAGGAATGTGCTGGTCAGTGTTCATTCACGAAAGAGAAGGGCAGAAGCAGCATGCATGTTCCGGATGGGAGAAGGGGTGGCAGTCTCTGCTCAGGGCCCTCAATACAGTTAGACAGCTACGAAGAATGATACCATGCAGGCGGGGTGGCACCCAGAGACAGGAGTGACCTGTGCAGTGACTTAGGCTCAGAGCTGTGTGGCTGCAGGGGATGACCCACCTGTGAGGACAGCGCTCATCCTGACTGCACCATGTTCCGGCACTGGGACACTACTGCCTGGGGAGCAAGTTCTGCGCCCTGAGCTCACCCTGAGCTTCCCAGTGTGGAAAGGCAGGGATGTTTGCAGATGATGAGGAGCTACAGAGAGAAACAAGTGAGAGTAGGGGGCTGAGTGATGGGAACAGGGGCGTGATTTTCATTATATTCCTTTTCGAACTGACTTTTAAAAACTCGATTACAAAGTTACCTTTCAAAACTAGGAGATGTTGATAGAATTTGGTATCATGAATTATTTTATTTTCCACCCTGAGCCAGAAATAACAGATGATCTTCGTACGTTTTCTCATTTTCCAGAGAAAAACTCCTTTTCTAACATTTTTTCTGCAAGGTGAAGTATAAAAGTCTAATTTGAAAAAATAATTCTTAGTTTCTTTGACAAGTAAATAATTGTTCCTTAAAATTTTTAAAAAAATTATGCTGCTTTTGCAACCACAAAGTCACCAAGTACATTCACCCTGGTGGGCAGCTCCTTCTGCAAACACAGGGCCCAGAGCCCTGTGCCTTCCCAGACGATTGGAGCAGGGCCTTGAACTGTTCCAACCTCTGCTACTCCCAAATACGAAGGAGGTGACGCTTGTCACCACCCCTGGGGTGACACCGGCCTCACTATTCCAGATCCTGAGGGATCTGAGGAAGGCAAGATTTCTTCCCATGGCCGGGAAATAGTTTTGCTTTCTAATTCACTGTTTCCTTTGAACAGTAAAAGTGTTTTGGAGCTTTGGACACTAGAGGTGTCCTCAGAGCTGGACCAGATGCCCAGGGACCCTTCCAGGTCCGGTGCAGCTGCTGCAAGGATGCTGCGGCCTGCTGGGGTTGTTCTACTCTTTCATTCCAGCCTGGGTCTAGTCTATTCCCATGCAGGTTTTGTCCAGGGCACACACTTCCTCTGCAGTTCCCTCTCCTCACCACCCCCAACTGATTCAGGTCTGTGCCACCACCTGACTCCCCAACCTGTCGCCATAGGAGTGAGGCCTGACATTTACTCGAAGCATGAGCTCCTGAATAATGAACTGCTTCCCTTTGCTTCTCCAGAGTGCAGCTACTACAAAAGGGGCACCGGGCCTGGCAGAACTGAAAGCCCTAGAAGGAGCCGTCTTCCCTCAATGAACACATTCATCACAGCTTAGCTAATTCATGGTCTACCATTCACTGCTTGTATTCAAGGCTACAACTGCTTAAAAAAAAAAAAAACCCAATGAAACAACATAGGGGGAGAGAGAAGGGAAAAAGGGTATTGAGGGGGATGTGACCAACATATGTTCTGTGCCTGGATGAAAATGTCATGCCGAAGCACAGTATTTTGTAAAACAATATACATTAATAAAAATACATTTAAAAAGCAGAAATCAATTTGGATACAATTAGACTCAGATGGCTTTGATGCAGCCATTCTCGTCTAGAGAAAGCTGTGGCCTCACGTGTTACGGGCAGAACACTGCTTAGGTTCCAGAGGACCTGGGAACACTCACAGGCTCATCTATAGTGGAGAGGCCGGTATGGAGCCAGGGTAGGTCATACTGTCCGATGGGAAAGGGAATTACGCATCTCTGTATCTGAGACAAAGCTAAAATCATACTGATCAGAACATCACACCCACTGTGATTCTACTTCGTGCACGCACATGTGTGTGTGCACGTGTGTGGCTTTTTGAGGCAGGGTCTCACTGTGTAGCTCAGGCAGGCCCTGAACTCACTGTGTAGCTCAGGCTGTCCTCAAACTCATGGTGATCCTCCTGACTCAGCCTCTCAAGTGCTAGGCTTACAGGCAAGCTTGGCATCTACTGATTTTAAATTTAAAAATCTATGTATTTTGAGTTGAGGATATGAGGTGTGGTTAAAGAAAAATATGGTGAATGCTACTCAACAGAAAGGCAGTGATGATCTGCAGGGCAGCAGCATGTTGTGCCTTAGTGACAGTGACATGAGTTTCAACTTGTCAGGTGTAGTCAGTGGGCTGTGAGCTACTGCGGCGAGGTATGCTTTAAGGCATGCTATAAGTCACAGATCAGGAACAACAAATTAACTGAAATGTTAATTCCGCTGGCACTATGCAACTGAGCCACTTCAGATTGTAGCTTTTTGAGAAATGTCATCAAGAGAGATGAGACTGGGGTCTCTGGCTGTGATCCTGACAGCCAGGTTCAGAGCTGTTGTCTGAAATCACCCAGTTTTCATGGGAAAAAGCGCAGCAGTCAAGACGGAACACCAAGGAGCTGTGGGCTGTGTTTTCTGACCTTGACAGAACTGTGTGAGCTGAATCTGCAGCCAGAGGCACCACGGTAAGCTTGGTTTCACCCTCCACCATGACCATGCTCCATGTCACGCATAGCTTCTGGGACAGCAGTTTCTGTCAAATAAAAACATGATGCAGTGTCCTCCTTCACCTTAATTCACTGGATCTGGCACTTGGTGATTTCTGGTTCTTCCCCAAAGTCCAAATGGTTACAAAAGGGAAAAGTTTTGAATTGATTTGGGATATTTAGGCAGCCATGGCAGTGTGGCTGAAAGACACTCACGGAGGACTTCCAGAACCGCTCCCAAAAGTGGCAAAAGTGACGGGATAAGTGTGTTTGAAATAAGGGCATTTTGAGGGAGATTAATAGCAATGTGTGACATTCATTGTATTTATTGACCACAATGCACTGATCAGTGGCAGGGTGAACCTAGCATCACAGGGCCATGGGTTCGGTCTTCAGCACCATGAAAAAGCAAAACAAAACCCCACAACAACAACAACAACAACAACCCTGTATATTTCTAAAGTTACATATTCAGGAATGTAAATACTCACTACAGATGTCTGGAAGATAACATCAAACTAAAAACACATTAAAATTCAAAGAACTGGTATTATACAGACCAGATTCCTTAATTAAATTGATTAAGTTAAAAATTAATAATGACAGAGGTGAAACCTAGACCTGTAAAGCTTTTAGAGAAAACATGGGAGAGCTGTGTGACCTTGTACTGAACAAAGACGTTTAGATGTCACATTAAAGTATGATTTGTACAAATGAGTCAATATATTAAACTTTATCAAAATAAAAATCCTCTGTTCTTTAAAAGATAGGTCAGAAAATTAAAAGACAAGCAAAAGATTAGGAAAAATATTTGCAAACCATGTATGTGATAAAGAACATGTATTCAGAAAAAAAAAAAAAAAAAAAA